GGCGTGACCAGTCTCCGAGCGCACGCCCGCCCGCCCTGGGGAGGGGAGACTGGGACGGGCCCTGCGGGACCACACGCGCCCCAGGCATCCACGCGGGACACACCCTAAGACTCTAAGACAGCGCCACGGGGCTGCCACTTGTCAACTAGCCACTTGTCTTCCCCCAGACGAGCTCAGCATGGCGTGCTTGTCCACACGGACACAGACACGCAGGGTTTATGCTTAAAACACCTACGTCCACCTGAGCTCCGAGGACCGTGGTGAGCAGGTGGCTACCGGGAGCCCCCGGCATCCTGACTCGACGCTCAGACCCCCTGTTACGCTGGAACCATGACAGTAGGAAAGCGACAGCCCCCACATCCAGAAAGACGTCTTAGTGAAAACAGTTCCCGTGACGTCTCCGAGTCCTGCCCAGCCGTCCTGTTTCTGAGTTGCGACGCCCTGTCGTTCCTGCGTGTGGCTCCTGCGTGTGGCGTGTGGCTCTCAGCCCTGTCACTGCGGTGCCGTCCCTGCAGTCAGGAAGGTCTTCAGGGCGGGGTCGGGCTCCCGGGAGCAGGTGCCGCAGGTGACTCGAGCCCCGTGGGTCTGATGTGGAGACGGGAGCTCCCCCCCGGGTGTGGACGGCCAGGACCCGCTGTTCTCCGGACCCGCCTCTGTCCTTCCTTCCTCCCCTGCCCCGGGTCCGGCTGCTGCTCGGCCCCGACCGCGCCAGGCTCCAGGCCGGGTAAGAAGTCCCTGCGCCCACGTCCTATGCCTGCCGCCGTCTCCCTGGAGGGGCCCGTCTCCCGTCAGGCCGCCCCGGGACGACGGAGCTATGACCGATTTTAGAGAAGTCGCTGTTCCTAACGGTACTGCAAAAACGTGGCGACAAGATTCCCCACCTGCCCGGCCATCTTGGAAGAGCAGCACCTGCACGCACGGGCCGCCACGGGGCGGGAGGAACCTGTTCCCAGGGTCCAGAAAGTGGGAAGTGTCAGACATCAGGCCGGGAGCTCGAGGAAAAGCGATGCCACGCCTTGCGCCAAGGTGCGGCCCGTGGGTCTGGGGAGCTCGGCTGTGCGTCTGGCGGGAGCGGGTGTGACGGAGCCGGCAGGGAACCGCCAGGTTCTTGGCCCCAAAGGCTCCTGAGTCCCAGGGCCCCAGCCAGGTGCCGGGTGCTGTTCGCAGGAGCAGATGCGCCGTTGCCACCGCCCGCGGCACTGAGAAAACCCGAGGGCGCGGTCAGGCGCCAGAGACCCAGACCTCGTCCAGGCTCTGCCGCGGCTGTTTGGTGCAGAGCTTGCCGGCTGTGCCGGGGCCGGCTCCGCCAGCTCGCGGCCGGTCAGGCAGCTGGCGCTCGGGGCACAGGAGAGCCGCGTCCTCAGAATGCAGGGTCCACGTCCCGCCTCCGTTGATGCAACACGGGTCCGTTCCTTTTGCAATTCTGTATCATCTAAAACTGTTAAATCTCGGCATCCACGAACAGTTAGGCACAGCAGCTGTGCTCTCTTCGTGGATTCAGGCCCCGCATCCTTTGGGGATTCGCCCTGGGTGGGCGGGATGCGGTTCCTGAGCAGACGTTGGTGCCGCCTTGTGTGTGTGTGTGTGTGTGTGTGTGTGTGTGTGTGTGTGAGTGTGTGTGTGTGTGAGTGTATGTTTGTGTGTGTGTGTGTGTGAACTCACCGTGTGTCCGGCAGTGGCAATTCTCGGTGCAGGACAGGACCACAGCGGATTTATAAGGAAGACATCCAGTTTTGATTAAAAAAATGTCAAAGAGAAAATGGATAGCCATTAAAACGGAGTCAATGCTGTCTTTGGTTTTGTGCATGAGTTCAGACTCCTGGTATTTCTGTAAAGACACGACTCACGTAGCACGAAAGCCGCCGAGTTAAGGTGACACTCTGTCAGTGTCAAGCATTTCACGGTGTTGCTCGACCATCACAGCGTCCGACTCCTGAACGTCCGCCTCACCCCGGAAAGGGTCGCGGCCCCTGCTCACGGCTGGTCAACACCCTCCCCTCGAGGCCCTGCCAGCCCCGGTCCGCGCTCTGCCCCGGGCACCTGCGGCTCTGGACACCCGTGTGAGTGGAGCCACACGGTGCGGCCTTCCTCTGGCGGCTTTCCTTTGGCAGACGGTTTGCAAAGTCCGTCCACGTGGAGCAAGTGCTGCATTCTCCTGTCGGCTGAATAATGTTCATTGGCACATTATTATCCGTCTTTATATGGAGTGTGTGTATGTTCCTACGTATCCTCTGCGTTCTGTTTTCCGTTCCCCGGCTGATGGGCCTTGCTTGTTTCTACATGATCGTTGCTTCTGGGGACCCCATCATCAAGTTTTGTCTGGACCTGTTTCCCTTCTGCTGGGGGTGGACCCAGGAGGGAACTGCCAGGGTTGCAGGTCAGCTCTGGGTCTGACCTACCGAGCAGACACCAGACTGTCTTCCATGGTGGTGGCACCATCCATGTTCCAGCCAGCAGTGTGTGAGGGTAATGAAAGTGTTTTGATAGACCACGGTTCATTCTTTTGGGTTAGGTGTTGTGATAAGCATGTGCACACACAGACACACATACACACGGCTGCACATACACACAGACACACACACACAGACACACAGATGTGTACACACAGACATGCAAACACGCATCACGAGCTCTTCCCTGTGTGTGTCTGGGTGTGTTTGCAAATATTCCTTATTATTTCTGACACCAGCTAAGTCCATGTTATCATTAATAATTATAGATACCGACCATCGTTTAAAGAATGTATTTTATTGGGGATAAACAGAAGAAGGATATTATAGCTGTTCAAATTTCTCCTTGGGGATAAAGTTGAAAAAATGCTCATTCACCGGAAATAATAGAAATCGGGGGCTTTCGCACGACTGTGAAGTTTAAATCCTTCTCTCACTATCCACGTGTCCACGCGATTGTGTGTTTATTTGCTCCCGTGGGTCATGCGTCTCCTTCAGCTCAGCACTGCCCTTGGGGTTTGGGCGATGCCAGCAACACCAAATGTTCTGGCTTTGCTCTCAAACTCCGATCAGCTGGTTGTGGGGTGCAAAAAAGGCGCGTTGGGAAGAGCCACACACGTGCACAGACAATGCAGTAGGATGCGCATGTAGACGGGGAAGAGCAGGCGCAGACGCCTCACACGCTTAGACACGGAGCGGGTCTGGAGCAGCCTCTAGTCCTCACCACGCATCTCACTCGCAATAGTCACCGAAAAGGGAACGTTCAGCTGTCAAAAATTGAGAACTACTTTTTTTTCTCTTGGAAAATACAGCTTTTATTAAAATAATAGCAGTTGACTATTTTGCATTTTTTTTGTCTTTCCTCCCTATAAGACTTTTGTTTTTCTATTTTTAAATTTTTT